TCATCTTGGGCATGTTGGCCCTGAAGCATCCTTATTCTTCTGTATTTAGTACTAATAAAACCCTAAAAGCAGCATGAAAAGTCCATGGTAAGGGGGTATAGCTAAGTAAAGTATGTTCATAAATTTTCTAGAATATTATTCAGCCTTAAACACGTTGGGTACAAGACTATAAAGCATGTTAGATTAAGTGAAAAAAGTAGGATACCAAATCCAATAATCACCCAAAACATAGAAAAAGTACTGAATGGAAATAGAGCAAACTTTACACAATGATTATTTGAGGATTGTGGGTGAATTTTTTTAAATTTAAATTTTCCATCTTGTAAAAATACCAATCTTAGAAATTAAAAATTGTAATATCAGGTTTGTTTCGTACATTATTGATTTATAATGGTTTAAATGGTTGCTTCTCTAAACTGACTTAATAGTAATTACTTCAGGTAAAATGAATTCTTTTTTAAACGTGACTTTCTAGTTAGTTCTAAAGTTGAGTGGAGGTGAATTCTTAGTTATACAACGTAAGCAATTTTTACAGCTGTGTTAATCAGTAGTCAGTGCTGATCATCTCTCCCATAGTTGTCTCTGCTAGCTTTTCCATCTGTCAGCTGTAAGCAATGCAGAAGCATTGAAAACATTTTCCTTCGCCGTAACACGCTAAAATTCTCATAAAATGTCCATAAACATTAAGTACATTTTGTGAGTGATGAATAATGTTAAAGAACTAGCTATGTGTTTTAATATATAAAATTAGACTTTGTGTAAATTGACTATACTTTTAATCATGGATTTTCTCTAAGATAATGTGCTAAGAAGATATCTAAACAATTCAACACCTGATATTTTGGTCGTACTTTAGGGAATTGTTTTAATAAATAAACGTTATTTAATTTTAATTTATGTACAATAAAATGCACCCATTTGTTTATTTATTTTATTGAATTATTTTTGAGCCAGGTTCTCGTTCTGTTCCCCAGGCTGGAGTGCAGTGGCACAATCATGCCTCACTGCATCCTTGAGCTCTTGGGGTCAAGGGATCCTCCCGCCTCAGCCTCCCAAGTAGCTAGGACTACCAGTGCATATCACCACACCCAGCTAATTTTTTATTGTTTTTTTGTAGAGCTGAGGTATTGCTTTATTGCTCCTGCTTGTCTCAAACTCCTCACCTCAAAGCCATCCTGCCACCTCGGCCTCCCAAAGCATGAGGATTACAGAAGCAAATGACTGTGCCAAGCCCATTTACTTATTTTAGTGACTTTTTACAACTGTATATGCTCATGCAGCCACCACCACAATCAAGATATAAAACACTTCTGTCACCATAAAGTGTTTCCTGGTACTCAAGTTTCCTGGCCCCAAGCACCTAACCTCTCCTTTCTGTCACTAGTGATTAAGTTTGCTTTCTATAGAATATCATGTAACTGCAATTTTGCCATACGTACTTTTTTGTATCTGGCTTTTTTCACTTAGCATAATGTTTTTTTGAGATTTATCCATGTTGTTGCATGTATAGTCAGTCCTCTGTATTAGCATGTACCACATCCTTGGATACAGAGGGCAAAATGTAAGGTACTAAGCATCTTTGGATTTTGGTATCCATGGGGTATCCTAGATATCCCATCCTGGATGTCCTTCGTAGCCAATCCCCTGTGGATACCAAGAAACTACTGTAAATTAGTAGTTTATTTCTTTTTATTGCTGAATAGTAATCCATTTATGAATCTATCATTTGTTTTCTCCATTCAGCAAGCAGTTGATGGACATTTTACTTGTTTTCAGTTTTTGGCTATTAAAACAAAAGCTGTCATAAACCTTCTGTATAAATCTATGCAAACATGTATTTTCAACTCTCATGGGTGAATACCCAAGAGTTGAATTGCTGGATCCTATAATAAGTGTATGTTTAACTTTTTTGGAAACTGTCAAACTGTTTTTGTTTTGTTTTGTTCTGATTTGTTTGAGATGGAGTCTTGCTCTGTAACCCAGGCTGGAGTGCAGTGGCGTGATCTCAGCTCACTGCAACCTCCGCTTCCCAGGTTCCAGCGATTCACCTGCCTCGGCCTCCCGAGTACCTGGGATTATAGGCATGCACCACCATGCCCAAGTAATTTTTGTGTTTTTAGTAGAGACGGGGTTTCGCCGTGTTGGCCAGGCTGGTCTCAAACTCCTGACCTCAAGCAATCTGCTTGCCTCAGCCTCCCAAAGCGTGGGGATTACAGACATGAGCCACCACATCTGGCCTGCCTAACTGTTTTCTAATGTAGTTACAATGTTTTGCAATGCCACTAGCAATGTTGGAGCATTTTATTTGCTCCATATACTTGTCAGCTAAACATCTTTTAATATGTTTTTTTGGCTATTCATGTATCTTTTTTTGTAAAGGGTGTGTTCACATCTTTTGCTTATTTTTATGTTGTCCAGTTTGCGTTCTTATTGCATTATGAAAGTTGCTAAAATATATACTGGATACCAGTCCTCTACTGTAGATATGTATTGCAAATATTTTCTATCTGTAGTTTGCCTTTTTTAAAACTTCCTATTAGCTGTCTTTTCAAAGGCAAATTGTAAAAATTTTATGAAGTTTAATTTATTCATTTTTTTCCTCCAATTCATGCTTTCATGTCCTAAGAAACGTTTGCCTACTCCAAGGTTGTGAAGAAGGCATTTTCTTCTAATAGTTTTAATTATTTCAGCTTTTTAAAGTCTGTGATCCATTTCAAGCTAGTATTTATTACTAGTTCAAGAGATAAGACGGAGATTTTTGCTGTTTTTTGATTGAGTATCCTATGAGACAAGATTGAAGTTTTTATTGCTTTTTGTTGTTTAAATATGGATATTCAGTTATTGCAGGACCATTTGTTACAAAATTTATTTCTCCACCTTTATCAAAAACCAATTGTATGGATTTATTTCTGGACTCTATTCTTTCCCACTGATCTATATTTCTGTCCTTTTGCTAATTCCACATTACCTTGATGGCTGTAGCTTTATAGTAAGTCTTGAAATAAAATAGTAAGTCTTCCAACTGTGTTCTTTGTTCAAATTTCTTTGACTGTTGTATTAGTCCCTTCTCGCACTGCTCTAAAGAAATACTTGAGACTGGGTAATTTGTAAGGAAAACAGGTTTAATTGGCTGATGGTTCTACAGGCTGTACAGGAATCATGGCTGTGTTAGGAAACTTACAATCATGGCCAAAGGCAAAGGGGAGGCAGGCACATCTCACATGGCAGGAGCAGGAGGAAGAGAAAGAGTAGGGAGGTGCTACACACTTTTAAACAACCAGATCTCATGATAACTCACTATCATGAGAACAGCACCAAAGGGAAAATCCACTCCCATGAACCAATCACTTCCCACCAGGTCCCAACTCCAACACCAGGGACTACAATTTGACATGAGATTTGGGCAGGGACACAGACCCAAACCATATTAACTGTTTTCTATGACCTTGGATTTCTTTGTAAGTTTTAGAATTACCTTGTCAATTTCTCCAGAAAACTTACTGGGATTTTTATTGGGATTCCATTACATCTACAAATCAATTTGAAGATTTGAGTCTTCTATCCCATGACCATGATATATCTCTCCATTTATTTAGGTCTTCTGTACTCTCAGAATGTTTTGTACTTTTCAATGTAGAACTAATTCTTATACATATTTTGTTAAATTTATCCAAAATATTTAATTGCAAGTGAGATTTCTAAAATTTCAGTTCCTATTATTTGTTACTATTATGTAGAAGTACAATTAATGTATTAGTATAGTATAATTAGTATAGTATTAATATAGTATAATTCTTTAAATACTATAAAGCCAAATCCAGGAATATGATATATATTAGTATATAAAATATATTAATGCAATATAATTATAGAATAATTATAATTCTATATATTGTAGTAATGACAATATAATTATAATTATTATATTGCATCTCTATATAACTATATAACTACAATATAATTATATTGTATTATATATTTATATGATTATAATCTATCATGTATAATTACCATAATTTTGTTTTAAATGCCATAAAACCAAAGTCAGTAATATTACATAGCTAAGACCTTCCATACGATATTGATTAGAAGTAGTGAAAGTAAATATACCTCCATTTTTCCCAATCTCAGAAGAAAAGCATTGCATCTTACCATTACATATGATGATATCTATAGGTTTTTTGTAGATCCCATGTGTCAAGTTGAAGATATAATATTACTGGATTTGGTTTTACAGTATTTAAAACCAAATTGTACTAATTATATGTAATATAAATATATATTCTATTACTGGATTTGGTTTTATGATATTTAAAGAACTATTTTCATATATTTTTGTGAGGTATATTAGTCTGTAGCTTTCTGTTTCTGTGGTATCTTGGTCTAGTTTTGGTATTGGGGTAATACTGGCCTCATAAAATGAGTTTAGAAGTGTTTCATCCTTTCCTCTTTTCTGAAAGAGTACATGTAGGATTGGTATAATGACTTCCTAAAATTTGATAATGATGTGTAGTTTTGTAAAACTCTTTGATTTTGATGTTAGAGTAATAATGGGCCTATAAAGTAGGAATTGTTTCCTTTTCCTTTTTGCTGAGTTTAAGTACTGGTATTGTTTTTTCCTTAAAATGTTTAAATTTACTAGTGAAGTTCCCTATACCTGAAGTCTGTATACAGACTTAATACACCCTATACCTGAAGTCTGTATACACCCTATACCTGAAGTGTGCAGGGGGTAATTTTGTGGATATCAAAGTGATATAGTAGTTGGAGAATGATGTCTGGAGCCAGAAAGTCTGTTAAAAGTACTTAGTTCTCATTGACTCTCTTTACAAGTCTTAGCTTATCTAACTGTGCCTCAGGAATACACAATTATTGTTCCACCTCATATAATTGTTTTAAGGGAAAAAAATATAAAAACATATGAGTGTGCTTGCTATTTGATGCCCATTTAATTCTTTTCTTGCTATATGTTTCTAACTGCAACTTTTCCTTTTTTACAGAGGAAGATAAATATAATATTTACTCACCTTTGCTCTTCAAGTGTTTCCTGGCAGAAGGAATTGTCAATGGGCATACTTTGTTGGTTGCATCTGCTAAAGAGGATCCTGCCAACATTTTACAGGTATAGAATATATGAACTTAATATTGCATTTTGAATGTTTCATGAAAAAATGTTTTTATGTATGTAAACAAGATATATGTTTGTATATATACAAACTGTATTTAAATGCATTAACGGGATTATACATTTTTTAAAATCTCAGTAAAAAGTATCAAATTTATTTGAACATAGAGTTATATTTTAAAGTAATGTTCTTGAACAATTTTTTAAAACTTCATATGAGAGGTGGGGAAACATTAAGCTAATAAAAACTGACACTAAGTAAAATTACTGGACCAGGCATTCACAAAAGTCATGCTTAATAGCAAAAATTCTAGTTTACACTTCTTATCGAAGAAAGGGGAAAATATCCTTTAATTTTTTTGCTTCTAATTATAACATCTTCATTTTGACTACTACTATGGCAAAGCAAATTTTCCAAAGTCTAAGTTTTCTATACTGCTAACAAAGTATGGGTTAACTGTTGCTCTTAAGAAGCCTTTAAAAGAAACTTGGAATTCGAATTTTCAGCCTGAAACTATTATATAAAGTATAGGAAATCACTACTATGTGAGTTAAAGCAAATAATGGAATAAAAACAAAAGGCACATCTATATAATCAGCAAATTGGCTGATAAGACATTTTAAATATTTTACATTTCTACTTAGCACAAGCAAAAATAAACTGATTCCAAGGCACTACAACATTTGCCATTTTTACTGCAAGCTTTAGGCAATTTTTTTTTCTTTTAATTTTGAAGAGATGAGGTCTCACTATGTTGCCAGGCTGGTCTTGAATTCCTGGCCTCAAGGAGTTCTCCTACCTGGGCCTCCCAAAGTTCTGGGCTTACAGGTATGAGCCACCACATCCAGCCTAGTGCAAGCTTTAATCATAGTTTCATTCTAAATGTATCTAAGGAAATTAAAATGTTCATACATAAAAAAATTATTATATCTGATAGGTAATATTCTACACTGTCATGATAATAAAAGAACTCTGGAAAACATTACATGAAGCAAAACAATTGCAGATTGTTTGGTAATTATATTACCAATATGCCAGAGGTATAAATCAGAAGAGTCAGATACTAGAAGTACACATTGATTAATATTAGTTGTCTTGGAGAATGCTACAAATGATTCTCTTCCATGATAAAATATGTCATTAATGTACCGAATCTTTAAGCCAAAGCACACTTTTTTCCTCAGAGAGGACACTTTTTTAACTTTTAGAATTCTTAGTTTCTTTGTCCATAACAGAATCCTAATTTAAGCCATTATTTGAATAGAGTTAATAATCTAAAGTCATTTTTCCATAGGATATTTTAATTTTAGTACATAGTTTGCAAAATGGCAAATTAGTCATTTATAAGGAATTTGTAACATAATAAATACTAATTCATAATACCTGTGAACAAATGCCAACAAACTTCTTTGCCTTAGTATAAAAGTTACAATAATGCTGAGGTCAAAACTAACATAATTCGTTCATGTGATTCAGATTTTGCTTGTTAAATAATACTACTATAAAATCCAAAGCAGAAACCTGTATATAATTGATTTTCCTCTGATTGTAGGGCTTATTTTTTTTTTCAATCACTTTTTTAGTTGTTTACTTTTTATGATATTTTTTGGTGTTTTCTTTTGCTCTTTTTCCTGCCTTTTATCATCTTGGCCAACTTCCGGACAGTGCTACACTTGCTAGGAGCAGTGGAGTAAAGGCCAAAACCATTGTTGTAAGTAAGCTATACAGGTTCTTCATGGCATATTCCACAATATACTGAGACTAAGATTTTACATGAAACATCTATATAGCCATCATAGGAAAATTTTGCCAACCAGAAGCAGAAATACCTATATATGCTTTTTAAAATAAAGTGTTTTATTTTTATTTTTTCCTCTTTCAACCCAGGTAGCTGATGTTAAAAATTTTCAGTTTGCTTTAGAGAATACTTTAATTTCAAAACTAATCCCTGACGTCTTTCTTAGGGGTGCCTTGAATTTGTACAAGTTAGTATTAAAAATCTCAATGTACTTTACATATCCTTCTTTAGATGATGTGAGGGAGTTTGAAGCTGTAAAAGAAATATTACCTTTTCATCAAGCTTTCATAAAATAGCCAGTCATTTATGGAAGTAATTGTGTGTTGCAAAGACTTAGTCATACAACAATTTTATGGTGTAGGAGAATAAAATATAAAACTATAGTTAAAAACAAAACAGACTCTTAAAAAGTACACCATGTCTGACCCAGTTGCATATGTCTGACCAAGATAGATTAATAAAGTCCAGATTTCTCCTCATGCCTGAAACAGCTGGAAAAAAAAAAAAAAGCAGCACAGAATATAAAAACACTTGGCATCAGATAATAAAAGTGATTCCTAGTTATACAAAACAAAGAAGGCAAACCCTATAACTTCCCTACCTTACTGAGTACAGTGTTTCTGAGCCACAGCGCAAAGAAGAGAAACACAAGATAAGATGACCTTCAGGCGGCACAGCTAGGAGCACAACGAGGTCAAGGAAATTCTGTTTATAAATCAGAGTACCTGAATGGGAAGTACCTGAATACATCCAGTGAGTTAGAGATCTGCATAGGGTCTCCCTCTAGTCTTCAGTTGAGTGCTCACCTGTACATGTACATGAGGAAATGGCCTGAGGCTAGAAAAGGAACTACCTGACAATATTAGAAGTAACAATCCCCAGGGCCAACAGTAATTCCTGCTCCCACATGCCAGAGTGAAAAACTTCATGATTTATGAGATGTCAGGTGGGGTATTTAGAAGAGTTTTGCATTGGTAAAGAGCAAAATTATCCCCAGTTTATAAAACACTGCTCTGGTCCTGTCCAATGAGGCTTAAAAACAAGGTCTGAAGTAACCAGCTGTTTTCAAGTAACTTAACTGTGTCCCAGACCAAAGCTCAAAGTACGGTAATATTAAAGTGTCCAGCACTCAACAGGATAAACTATTCTGTGTCTGGTTTCCAATTAAAACATAGTAGACATGCAAAAAATAAGAAAATATAATTTTAATAAGGAGAAAAGTCAAAGCAAAAAAGAAATGTCATGATAGAATTAGCAGATGAAAACGTAAGTTTTATTGTAAGTATATTCTAAATATTCAATAAGCTAGAAGGAAGATTAAACATGTTAAATGGAAACATGGAAGATGTAAATATAAACACATGTTAAACTTCTAGAGATGAAAACTACAGTGACTGCAATGAAAAATACAGTTGAGGTGCAAAGTGAATTAGACACTGAAAAAGAAAAGGCTAGTAAATTTGAAGACATGGCATTTAAAATTATACAAGATGAAACCTGCAAAATAGACTGGGGAAAGAAAAGGAAGTTTGCATTAGTGAGCTATAAGATAACTTAAGGGTCTCTAACACGTGATTGGACTCTGTGAAGGGAGAAGGAGTGGTACAGAACAAATATTTGAAGAAATAAGGAATGAAAATATTCCAGAAATAATGAAAAATATACCACAATTCTAAGGTGTCTGGCAAACGCCAAGTTTTAAAAGTTCTGAAGAAAACAACATCAATGCACATCATAATCAAATTTCTTGAAACAAGTGATAAAGAGAAAATCTTGAAAGTGACCAGAGATAAAAGCACATTACATAGATAGAACCAAAGATAAGAATGACAGCTGACTTTTAGTTTTAGGCAATACAAACCAGAAAACAAGGAGGAAGTCTTTAAAATGCTAAAAAATAAAAATAAAAACATGCTATCAATTTAGAATTCTATACTCAGCAAACATCTTTCATAAACAAAGATTTTGCAATTTTAAAAGGTTGTTTTTTATGAAATCAAAATAAAGACTTTCTGAAATGCTAAAATCCAAAAGAAGTCACAACCACCAGACTTGCATTGTAAGAAATACTAAATAAAGTTTTTCACAAAAAAAATCAAAATAATACCAAATGAATATTTGGATCTAAACAAAGATATCAGAAGGACTGGAAATAAGTAAATATATAATACTTTTATTTAAGTGAATATAAAATACTTTTTTTCTCATTTTGTAAAGATAAAGTCATTAATGGTGAGAAGGAGAGAATAAAGGAAAAATGCAGAATTTGGAGCATGATGGATATATTTTTTGTCTTGATTATATTATTGGCTTCCAAAGTATATGTGAAGGGACTTCAAAAAGTTTGTGGAAAAATGGAATTAAAACATAAAACCGTAAACATTATTTCAAAACATAAGCTCCATCAAGTTCAAGACACTTTTGTGAGTGAGGATACCAGCCATTTAGTCGATTCTTAAAGAACTGAGGGTCCTGGGAATTTAACCATGTCAGTAGTCTTTTTTACTTTAACTGAAGAAAAATGGTGACATTTACAGATATTTTTTTAAGATTGGGAAATAAAGAGAAGTTGGAAGGAGCCAAATCAGTACTGTAAGATGGACACATAATGATTTCCCATCGAAACTCTTGCACAAATACCCTTGTTAGATGAGAGGCATAAGCAGGAGCTTGTCGTGGTGGAAAATGACTCACTGGTGAAGATTTCCCAGACATTTTTTCTGCCAAATCTTTGGATATATTTCTCAAAACAGTCATAATAAGCAGATGTTGTTCTTTGGCCCTCCAAAAAGTCAACAAACAAAATGCCTTCAGCATCCCAAAAAATTGTTGTCATGACCTTTGCTCTTGACTTGTCCCCTTGTGCTTTCACTTCATCACTTCGACCTCTTGCTAGCCATTGCTTTGACTGTGCTTTTTCTTCAGGATCATACTGGTAAAACCATGTTGCATTGCCTGTCATAATTTGTTGAAAATGCCTCAGGATCATGATCGCACTTGTTTAAAATTTCCATTGAAAGCTCTGCTCTTTGCAGCTGATTTTGGCATAACAGTTTTGGCACCCACAGAGTGGAAAGTTTGCTCAACTTTAATTTTTTAGTCAGAATTGTGTCAGCTGAACCAATTGAAACGTCTGTGGTATTGGCTATTGTTCTGCTGTTAATCATTAGTCCTCTTCAATTAGGGCATGAACAAGAT